AACATGCAAATTGTCAAATGAAAGGAAGCATTCTACTTTCCAAAGTTCCTAACCACAAATTATATTTAAATTATACATCTATAGTTGCAACTCAGGACTAGTTAGGCATATCTGGACCTGGTTTCACTTTAACTACCTTTATTTAGACCACCCATACTCATGCTAATTGATGTGACACAACAGTACGAAAATCAATGCAGATGAGTGTTTTTGCTGGTAAATCATGCTTATGAGCACCATATAAATTACTGGCAGTTGCTAAATCACATTTAAAACTCGATAGGTTTAACTACGAACACTACAGGAGACAAATCAAAAATTCCTCGAATGAATATTACACACACTGTGGAGAAGGGTGTAATCATAACATAATATAAGCCTAGAGGCTCAAATGCTATATTTAATATTAAAGGTTTTGATAGAATGAGAAAACTTAAATATAGGCTAACTAATTAGTGGTGCTAGATTACAGTTCCTAGATAAGTCGCTAGTACATCTAGATCTTAGACCTGTTAATTCCATCTTTTTAGTCTTTGGTTTGGATCTAGATGTAATAATCATGACAGAAATTTAGCTTTATACATCTAAACTAGACCTTAGATTTGGGTGCATAGATTGAAAGCACCTTGTATTGAACCTACCCAGATCTAGATATAACCCTGCCTCATCAATTCCAGATTTAGATTTATTAGGCCTAACTTTTAGAACAAATGTTACATCTAGATCTATTAACTTAGTCATTAGATCTGTCCCAGTGCAATGCCTAATTTAATAGTTAGGATGGGTCTGAGTATACCTATAATATAGGCTACAATCTGTATGGTGATGGACCTAGGATCTAGAAATAAAGTTAAAATTGCAATTAGACCTAAAGTCTAGTATATTAGTTGGTGTAAGACATGATTTACAATCAGCCAATACAATTACAAACCACTACATTAGGCCTATAATGTTTACTAGATCTAGATCTAGGCCTTGCCTGTTGCATATGTTTGTTTCTGTTTGTTTGTTTTTTAATTATGCACAAAGCTACACAAGGGCTATCTGTGCTCTGCCCACCACGGGTATCGAAACTCGGTTTCTAGTGTTGTAAGCCCGCAGACATACTGCTGTGCCACTGGGGGCCCTGTTGCATATATTGCCAATATTACACACCAGTTAATATTGTTACGTCTCCGTTTGTTAATTAATTTTTCTGTAAATTCGTTCCGACGAAACTTTAGCGACACAAGTCCTTTCTTAAATAAAACTGGTTTATTCTTTCTGAATACAATGTAACAAACGCTATAATTCTCACGTGCTCGACAATACTCAGTTCAATTACTCACTACTACACATTGTCCCATCACGTTGTGACCATCTTATATATACCAGGCTACCCCCAATCTAGTAAATGCTAAGGCATTCACGAAGGAACAGGATATTTCTAGAAAACGTGGCGTGACACTGGTCACGTGACCTCGCTGACGCAACACTGCCCCCTCCTTAGTATTGTTCGTCCCGAACAATAGCCACTTACAATAAAATTAAATGTACAGAATTACAATCACAAGATTACAATTCAACAAAGTCTCTTAATTTTACGGGACGTATCTTCTTCCGTACTGGTCTCCGTCTCGTTGGCTTCTGCTTTACGTGGGGTTCATCATCAGGAAATGTCCTATCGTCAGTAACAGTCACATTAGTGGTAGTAACTTCATCAAGAGCTTCACCGTTTCTCTTCTCAAAATTAAGTAGAGTTTCTTCTTCAACGTTGGCTTTTTCAGGTGACACTTCTTCAGCAGCGTCATTTGTTCTGTTGTTCACTTCGTCCCAACTGAAATGTCCTGGATCGTGATAACGCCAAAGCCTGCTGGCATGCACCACTTTTGGCTT